TGACCACCGAGCCCGTGAATAACAATTCTGGTGTCTCGCGTCGGGCTGTAGTGAGAGTTCTGCACACTTGCTGGATCACTGTGTGCAACGCAATCACGTGTAAATACCGCGTATTCGATAGTATCAGCTATAGGCGTGATAGGGGATACACTGAAGATGGTCCAACCGAATGCGACTGCGGGGAGGACCAGACTATGGGACATCTCCTGAAATGCCCCCTATTACCAGAGCCCTGTAGCCCTGGAGACCTTGAGGCTTTCAACCACCGTGCCAAGTCCTGTGTGCTGCAATGGCTGGGCCGAGTGTAGGTTAGTGACCCGAGAAGAAGAAGAAGATAATAAACCATTCGGTCATATTTACACGTTTTGCGGAAAGCGAAACCAAAGGCAGTTGGCACATATTTTACTCGGTGAACTCGATGTATTTAACAGATATCGGTTAGATTTATCAGCACCGGTCACTGTATATATTTAAACTCGCAGCATTCTAAATGTATAGCACATCTCTACCAATCATGGATGATTTGAATGGAAAGAACTGCAGAAGGAGTTCTATTCCGTTTTTAAATAAAAATATTCGCGTTGAAATATATGCTAGGCGATGAATTCAGTCTTATCATTTCTTGTTAATGGAGGAAAACGTAACACACACATCTAAGATCAAAATCTTAAAATGGTAAGTATGGGTGAGTGCGTAACGTGTTGGACTGTTAGACAGTTGTCGTAAGTTCAATTCTTGCCGGGGAACAGAGTAAACTTTTCTGTTAACTATTGTTAAGCCAATTGTAACACATAGATTGGATCCGACCATATAAGAAATGGTGAGTTTGGGTGCATGCGTAGCGTGCTGGGCTGGTACTCAATTATTCCGGGATCAAATCTTGTCATTTACCACGGAAAGATATTTTCGAGATATTGTTAGGCGAAATGTAAACACAACTTGACCATGACCATGACTGTAATCGAGTGATGTAAACATTTTGAATATGGCCTTGAGCTCAAGGCTGTACCAGTTATCGCACAACCTAGGTGCGGTGGTAGGTTGAGCTGGGCTGTGCGAGTTATGGAGCAATTTTGGCCTTGAGTCATGTAATGTTGAGAAAATGTAATGGCCTTGAGCCCAAGGCCATGGCCTTGAACTCAAGGCCAAGGAAATTTGTAGAAATTGGAAATTGTAATGGCCTTGAGCCCAAGGCCGTGGCCTTGAACTCCAGGCCACTTAAAATTTTAGAAATGGGAAAATTGGTCGAGGCCACGGTCAATGACAATGTCACGGTCAAGGTCCACGCAACAACAACAACAACTCTCCTGCATTCTACTCTGCTCTACTATACTGCTCTGTACTCTGCTCTACTGCTCTATAGCTTTACAGCTCTACTGCTCTACTTTATTTTGCTCTACATGTGGAGTTCGATCCTCACCACCGCAACCAGTGATTATGTGCATTTTACTGAATTATGTAAAGCGATTTTAGTAAATAATAAATACCTCGGAGATTTTCGTTAGAGTATAATTATTTATTACAAAGCATTTCAATCGTAAACGACGATATAGACGTGAGAACACATGTGCAGAAACATGACATGTCAGCGAATAATTGTAACGATACTTGTTTGTAAAATGCTAATTTGTCTAATTTGCTATGATTTTTTTGATCTTGACGCACAATTTGTTTTACGACCACTATATTACCTGTTTCATGCTGTAATTTAACCAATCTATCCACTAATAATATTTAAATAATGAAAATGTAAGAAATACATATATAACAACTCTTTGTAAAGAGAATACAGTTAACTCTTGGTTTACGCGATAATCAGGTTGTTCAGAATTTTCGCGCACAGCCAAAATGGCTGTTGCTCCTGCAACGGTACCGTCGCCGATTTTTTTTCTCTTAAAGTCACGGTACTGACGGTACTGACGCCTGATTGGTTGAGCTTGTTTTCTCGCGATATACATAGCACATCCAAA